GGGCGAGAAACATCTGGCAAGCATCTCTTCTGATTCAGCCACTCTTGTTTGGACCCGAGCAGGATTTTGTGACCGGGTTTCTCAGAGCTCTTCAGTCTTCATCTTTGATGTTGCAGAACGCGGTTCCATCTTAGCCGCCTTTTCTGAGTAATTTCACAATCTCTTAATCTTAAAAATGCAGTAACTCCCTTAAGTGCGATTAAAACCACAAATTATACTTGAGGAGTATTCTGGAATGAGTTGACTTTTCTCAGAAACATTAAATCATCGGGTTTTGTTTTTGTCAAATGTCTTTTGAACCAAAAACCTAAAAATGAAAAAAACTAAAACTGGTTCCAAGTGGCCTCTGGTTTTCTTTCAGAGCCTGTCCTCTGGAGCAGTGTTGTCATTTGCATATTGCAGAAGAACAATGTGACCCGAGGGTCCAAAACGTTGACGTGCTCAACCAACTCTGTCCCTTATGTTTCTTCTTTTTTAAACGTGACCTTTAACAACATTTTTACTTTTATCCAGGATGTTTTTCAAGCCACTGATCAAGCTGTTCAAGTTATTCTCAGTCACGTTGCAGCGACTTTGAACCAGAAAGTCAGACATTCAGGAGGATTATTTTTTTAAATCAGCAACTAAAGATCAGCTACTGTCTACATGACAACAGCTGCAACGTGAATGATCGTGTTGTTTTATGTGGCGTGTGTTTTCAGGAAGCTGGTGAGCAGCCAAAGCAAGAATACGGAGACGGTCCCTGCAGAGAAAGAAGACGCACACACAGGACTGATATGAACACACACACACACACAGAGTGTTAGTTTAATGAACTTCTTTCACTTCTGTTTAGTTCTGATTTCAAATTAAAGACCAAAACAAAAAGAAAGTGAGGGAGCACGAAGCGATCTCTGAGTTCAGAAGGCGAATGTTTCTTAATGTGTTGTTTTTATTCTCATGTTGTTGTTTTTGTCACTGAAAATAAACTTAACTGAAACACAGTTTTCCTCCTGCTCACCGCTGGTCAGAGTCCAAGAAGTATTCATATACATAGTACTACCACAAACATACTCCAGCGTAAGTTACAGCTCTGTGAGGCTGATAACACGCAACAGCAGCCGATTAGCAGCAAACACAAAGTCCAGCTGAGGCAGACGGGACTGTCGTTACTTCTCAGGTCAGAAATTTAAAGTTTTGGATGCAAGAAAAGGGTGGGTGGCTATTAAAAACAGTGTTTCATTAAGGTAGTACGGTTTAAATTTGTAGTAAATGGGTTTCTGTGTCTTTTTAAGAAATGAAACATCATTACTGTGTACTTTAAAGTACTCAGAAGTAAAAGTATTAATAACAGTGTACAAATATTGCATATTTAAAAATAAACTAGAGTAAAACATTCATACGTGAACATCTGTTTTTTGGGATGTGTGGAGTCAGATTTTATCCGTACAGTTGCAGCGCTCTCTGCAGGACAAATAAGGAAGTGCAGCCCTTAAAATGACAAACTATTCCATTTAAATATTGACGCCGGAGTTTTTGGACAGATTAAAGAATGTTTGGATTTAACAGAACGCATCTTAAACTACTTCTTTATCTGTTTATTTCTAAATAAATGATATTCCTTTCTTTAGAGCTCCAAGGTCAGTTTGAAACTTTAAAATGCAGCGTAAAAACACCAAAACTGGCTATTATTAAAACAAACACTGATCAAGCGTTTGCTTTGGTTTAAGTGTCGTTACACTGATTTGTTTTCATATATTTGGACTTTCTTTACCAAAATGAGCAGAAATACAAGCAACGTTTTTATAACTAAGATTTATTATGATCCCTAAACAATTTGTAAAAAACACTTCCCAAACACGACATGATTATATGAATCAAACTGACAGAAAACACCTGCTGTCATCTGCAAACTATAAACTCACACAAATGTCCACAAGTAATTTGCCCCATTTACTGCTGAGAAAGCGGAGCCAGTAACAGATCCCAGAAGTGAAGCTCAGTGAAATACTGACAGGAACACACAATGAACAAACAAAATCTTTACCTGAAAGTTTTGCTTCCATAATTCAATTTAAATTCTCTCCAGTGTATAAATGGTGACTTCTGTATTACTCAACCTTTCACCTATTTCCCCCCGTTTGTGATTGTGCGGCAGTCGAGCAGCAAAACAGGGCTGCAAACGTCAAAGTACGTCCGCTAAAGTGCTTGTTTTTCCCTACGGACAGGCTCAGATTGTTACTACAACAGTCCAGACAGGACGCCTACAGAGGGAGAGACCTTTTTCTAAAGAGTGAGATCCTTTCTGTTTCACCAGAAACAGCCATTACAACGCTCTCGTCCGAGCCGCCACTTTTACCTCTCTGGTCTCCAGCAGCCTCGATTAGTTTCACCAAAGTCACACAATAACACAAACTAACTAAATGAGCAACTGTGAACCAACTTTTAGGAAATTAAATCACAGAACCTGTAAAATAAAGTGATTATTTTCATTAGCGACTAATCTGCTCTTTATTTTCTGGACTAATCGATTAGCTTCCTCTAAAACTTTAGAAGACAGAGTGAAATGTGCGTCCGAGTATCCCAGAGCACAAGGCGACTGTGTGTTATCACCTAAAACCAAGAAAAGCGACAAATTCCCACATTTGAAAACCTAAAACCAGCAAAACTTTGACGACGAATCAACTCATAAAATCGTTACGGATTCATTTTCTTTCAGTTCATCGACTAATCATTACAGCCGGAAAATGCCTTAAGTGGCGTGGCTGCAGCGCCTCCTTCAGACCACCGGGGGGCGCAGCACTTAGTAGGTGACGAAGTTGGCGGGGAAGATCCCGACCCGCCCGTCGTCCAGTTGCCCCTCCCACCAGTCGTACTGGGAGTCGGTGCTGGTGATGACGGTGATGCGGTCCCCGGGGACGAAGCTCAGATCGCCGGGCTGCTGCCCCGTGAACGGGTGCGTGGCCGTGCAGACCAGCTGCCCGCTGGCCCCGCCCACTGACGGTCCTTCACGTGGAGGGTTGGCTGGAAAAGAAAGATTAGTTTTAATTTATCTTAAAATCAGAACTTTTATTTATTTATTTAATATTTTTATAAGCAGTTTTTCCTGTAAAAACATTAAATGGCTCTGAATACTTTTTATACTTTAAGTACATTGTCCAAATTATACTTTTACTGAAGTTTCAATGCAGGACTTGTGGTACTAGTATTTTTACTGAATACTTCCTCCACCTCTGGTGTGTGCTTTTG